AAAAAAAAAAAAAAAAAAAAACATATTTAGGGGTATTTTTGGGGGGCCGGGAATCAATTAATTGGTTTTCCAATATTTCTTATGGGAAGAATTCGATCAGAACTCGAACTTTTTAGGATTCGATCCGGAGTTTTGAACGGATTAACCTCGAGTTCTGAGGTACCACTGGCAAAAACTAGCAAATTCTGCACCCCCTTCCGACCAAGCAAAGGAGGGTTGCAGGTGACGTCACCGCACACCAGACCATGAAAGATTTGTTGTAATGAACCGAGGTACCACTGTACATGCAAAATTATGTACAGTTACTGGGTTCGAGATTCAACTAGCCAACTGTAATCAGCCAGCAAGCACAATGGGAGGGAGAAATAGAAGTTTCAAAAGCTGGAGAGCACCACCAACCAGCACCAGCACAAAAGCCGGTGTTAGCACATCAAGTTCGTACCAAAGCCAAGCACGAAAGCACCAGAATATTCCACATAATTAGCCTACCAGTTAATATGGAAAAAGGTAGGCGATCGTTTTTGGCAGCATTTAATGGGAAGCGGGGATAGTATTTCCAAAGGCTCACTGTGAAACATAAGCAAACTAAATGTTTCAGAGGAAAGAACACAGGCATTTGCCAAAAAAAGAGGAGTGCAACAGTGCACCTTACGGATACAAATCAGGACTCATCGCATATGTGGATAAAAGTGTTCGATTCAAAGAATCATTTGGCGGGCTCTACATGCTGCTGCTATTTGTAATTTGGTATCGGGATCAGACCGGGAAAACATATCATGCCATCTCTAATGGCGCCGGTTTGGCAGATGGTCTAAAGTCCTTTATTACTTGAATAGTTCAATACTTTAATTCTGACTCAGATCGGCAGTGCACGCGCGACTTAATTTCAGCTTTTAGAGCTCTTTTGCAGTTAAAATATTGGAAGAAACTTTTAAAGTCATCCTTAGCCTCCAATACAATCTTCCTTTCTACATTCCTCTCGGAGAGTCTAATGTTATTTTTTAACTCAACTTGTAGACTTAGATACTCCTGCTTTATTTTCAAATCATTGGTTATTTTCCATGGACCATTTTCCTCCTGACTTTATTCTTAATTTCCATAGTAAACCACCTTGGCTGCAGTTTCCTAGATTTAGTTTTGCTGGAAACAGGTATGAAGTCCTCTTGCACTTGCAACAATGTGCTTTCAAAAAATTCCCATGCCTCTCCCACAGTTTTGCTGTTTAACTCCATCCAGTTTACGGTTTCTAGTTTCAATCTCATACCACTAAAGTTAGCCTTCCTAACATTGTAATGTTACATACTTTTGTTTTGGACTTTGCTCTTTGGACACTAAAATTAACCTCAAATTTAACCATGTTATGATCACTACCGTCCAGTGGTTCTAAAACCTCTAATTTTCCAATCCTATCCTGGTTATTAGAGAAAACAAGATCAAGAAGGGCTTCTCCCCTGGTAGGAGTATTAAGAAACTGAGTAAAAAAACAACCCTGTACTAATTCCACCATCTCAAGCTCATTTACATAAGAGCCAGAGACTCTTATGTAGAGTCCCACTGTATCCCAGGTAAATTAAAATCACCCATAACCACCACACCATTTTATTACTCATAATTCTGATATCGTCATATAACATTCTGCTTCCCACTGCAGCTACATTAGGAGTACACCTATCTACATCGGCACATTTTTAATTTCGCAATTATTTAAACAATTGTAAATTTCTGTACAGGAAAAAACAGGCTAGTATGTATAGGGATCGTCACTATCCACACCTTCAGGCATTCACTGGGCATATTGGGACTACTGTATGATGTTGAAAAATGTTTAATTGAAATTAAGATGTGTCTGACTCTAAAGGGTAAACTTCCAAGTTTCAATCGCAGACCTTTGATGTCCACAGGGCCATTAACTCTTGGCTTCTCCCTGGGATTTTGCTCCTTACCATAGCTGTCAAGTGTCCCGTTTTGGCCGGGAAATGACCGTATTTTACCCCTCTTTCCTCCCGTATTAGTATTTTCCCGTAAATCTCCCATATTATAATATCATTTAAAAAAAATCCCTCTGCCTCTCCAAACTGAACTGCCAGTAGCCTCGCGAGAACTGCCACCTGCTGTAGTCTGCAGGTTATTTACAACATTAACCAGGTCATAAATGCGGAGGTTAAAATGGCAATGCTGTGTGCCAAAAACAACGTTACTTTCACCTTCTGTGACGACTTCAACAAGGATACAAAGTCTACAACAAATCTGTATAATAAGTCATTAGTGAATGCCAGAGAGCCACATGAGTGAACATGAGAAATTAAAAGAAAATGTGTAATGAAAATAAAATGCAAATGAAAAGTGATTATTTTAGATTTCTTGTACACCTGTCTTAAAATGTAAGGGATACTGGAGCTTGGTTGGGGTGGTGGGGTGGCTCGCGGTGGGTGCCGGAAAATTTCCCTTATTTTCAAATCCAAAACTTGACAGGTATGCTCCTTACTTGAGACCCGTTTTTCTGCTGATTAAAAAGAGACCATCTGTCCAGGCAGCCATGGTGCTCATCCACAGAGTGCCGTGTACCCCTCTCTGATTCCCATCCTTGGTACTTGAATTTTTATTTGGAGGATTTGGCTGCAACTATTTGTTTTTTGTCAAAATGAACGATCAGACTCCTGCAAAACTACACAGGGTTATGTTTTAACTTTAAATTATTGTGTTCTTATGAATTACTGCATTATAATCCATCGTTTACAGCAGTAAGCTGCATTAAGTTGTGGTAGGTCTAAATGAACATAGCTCCATGGTTAGTCACCTTTGCTATCCATAAGTAGCCTCCAGGGTTTGGGGCTTGATTCCATAGTTCAGTGACATGTTGTTTATATTAACTGGTATCTCTAAATTGTGTGTGCGTACTGTGATGCACTGGAATCCTGTCTATGGTGCTCCTGCAGACAGTGAACATAGACAACAAGACGGCTAGACAACAGGACGATAAGTGAATGTAATGATAAAGTGAATTATAAATAAGTAAATAAATAAGACCAGAATCCCAGGAAGAAATAGAGACAGTGGCAGAAATATATGTGTGGGTAGCAGTGGAGGTGACACAAGGTTACTGATTGTTCATGAGTCTGATTGCAGTTGGGTAGAAACTGTTCCTGACCCTGGAAGTGCGCGTCCGAATGGACTTTAGTCACTTCCCAGATGGGAGGAGGGTGGAAAGTGACAGTGCAGGGTGCTACCTGATACAGTTCACTTTCCTGAGACAGCGTGTAGTGTGGATATCATGGATTGCAGGGAGCTGTGTGCCCGTGATCTTCTGTGCTAAGTGCACCACACGCTGCAGAGCTCTGCTGTCCTGAGCTGAGCAGCTGCTGAACCAGGATGTGATGCATCCTGTCAAGATGGATTCCACAGTACACCTGTAGAATCTGCACAGGGTTGTGGGGGACATCCAAGCTTTCCTCAGTCTCCTGAGGAAGTAGAGGCGTTGTTGTGCTTTCTTGACTATTGCCGCAGTGTGACTTGACCATTTAAGGTCATCAGTGAGGGTGACTCCGAGGAACCTAAAGCTGCTGACCTGCTCCACAGCCTCACCTCTGATGTAGATGGGTGTCACACCCAGCTCCATCCAATCCTCGTGTGTGCCACGCCCACCTCGTTACCTCCTGTTTCAACCTGATTGTTCTCACCTGTTGCTCGTTACCCTCAGTTTGTCTTGTGTATTTAGTCCACGTCTCGGTTAGTTTCCCCAGTTCTATCATTGATGTTGTCCTGCGTAGTGCCTGGTCTTGTCCTTGTCTGCCCGTCTGTGACCAATAAAACCACGTTTATTGGACTTCACGGCTCCGCTTGCCTGCTTCCCCGTTCGCCTGCACATCGTAGCGTAACAATGGGGCTGTGCTCTGTTGTCTGTTTGCGGAAATCCACAATAATCTCCTTAGTTTTGTTAACGTTGAGGGTGAGGTTGTTGTCCTGACACCATTCTGCCAGGAGTCTGACCTCCTCCCTGTAGGCCATCTCATCATCCTCGCTGATCAGACCTACTGAGATTACTGAGAGATTCTAGGATCTGACTCTAAGGGAGCCCCTGAAGAAACATGAGTCCCCCACAAAAAAAATGCAGAAAGGGGGTGGGGTGCCACTATATAGTTTTTAAAATGGAGGGTTCAACATTTATAAGAAAATACAGGGAAAATCTCAAAGTGGTATTACATTTTTTTTCAGGGGGGACTGAGACAAAAAATTGGACGGTTGAAGCGCCCCCTAAATAGGGTCTAGAACTGCATAATTGCATATTCTGAAACCCTGTATTGGACAAGTAATATGGAAGATTTTATAATGATTAGATTAAACTGTCAGAAATTTAGGCTTTAAATGCCATATGGGTCAATATTCTTCTACAACAGCTATACTCTGCCCTGGGAATATGTGACATGTTGGGTGAAGCTTGGTTGGCACAGATTCCACCAGAAAGATGGGCACCGCACTTCACATGTTCAAACCGGAATAATAGCACACCAGTCAGTCACTTTCAGTAAAGGAGCCTTTTAATTCCTCTTTATGAGAAGATATACAATACTGTGTTGCTTGTGTGACTACCTTAAGCTGTAATCCACATGACATCGATAAGCTATGGTCATAATAAGTATTTTATGGAAGTATTTAAACTTCCTTGTACTGTGATAATTTTCAAAAGTGTACACACTAAATTCCAGCTGTAAAACCTACAAGCCTGTAAGAATAATACATAAAATTATTTTGTGTTTCTGCCTGCACCTTTATGTTAGCTAAATGAAAAAGATGTCACATAAGTGACTTGGCACATAAGAGGTGGGAAGATGCAAATGGCATCTTGTACATTTGTTCCAGAAAATAACATATCCAGTGGTCTCCTTTCACTTCCGTTTCTTCTAATCAGGACTTGGATGCCACTTAAGCCTTGGTCGTTGGGAGTAGTTGAAATGGATTAGCTGCTGCAGGTCTGCGGGCCTTCCTTAGTCTTAGGGATCTGTGATGTGTGCGGACTTCGCAAGGTTGGTCCCCTGTGCAAGGATTGGGGTTAGGGGGATGTCGTGGGTAAATATTTTGGACTTCGCAAGGTTGGTCCCCTGTGCAAGGATTGGGGTTAGGGGGATGTCGTGGGCAAGGATTTTGGACTTCGC